CAAGGTTGTTTGCTCAAATTATTAGAGCACAGTTCCAGAATATATATTATGATAATTTATCTTGATAATGCTGGTTTAAATCCAAGTTGGTTTAGCAGAAATTGTATGCCTCCAATTATAGCTAAACCATTGGTTATGAGAACACAACTCCAAATAAAAATTTTGTATTAAGTATATTATTTAATATACAACAACACTTGTACGCATCTAGCCAACAAGTTATGATAAATTCTCCCCATCACAATTGGTTCAGGGTCAGGAACCAAATATTTTCATCTAGAAATATGGATGTACTATATGATTTAATTGTGTCACCATAATGCACAAAGATTGGTCTCAATGAAGGTTGGGGATATGTGTTGGTGATCCCAACATTAGGGGGAGAAAATGAGCAGCTGAAAAAAAAGTAATACATGGAATGAATTATTATGAGTACATTAGATCCTCGTACAAGAAAATATGAACTTGAAGTTCAAGTGACAATTCATTTCTAAAATATTTCCAAGCACATTGCTGACCCAAAGCTAAATGTCATATTCCAGCTGCTAATGCTCCAAATAGAATAACGTCCATGATGGATAGAGTTTATGGCGCGCATGAAGCGTAATAGACAAATCGGTTCCAAAGATAAAACTCCTTGAAGAAGGAGGGAGCAAATGTTCAAGATGGTCATAATAAGGAGGCAAGTGCTTTATAAGAGCATCATGACATAACATTTTATAAGACCTCATGGGAGAGGCTCAGGTACCTGAAAATAATGAGATCTCGATAAGTTATGTCTTTATTATGCGATGATGGAACCGATGTAGAATGATCGTTGACGATGTTGTTAATATAATGTAGCGCTCAATATTATTAATATTGACGAGGATCTTAAGCTCAAATCTGTCATGGAATTTGGACAGATAAATGATTGGCCAAATGAAAAATATGCAATGAAATTGACTTCACCTGAAAAATGTGAAGTTGGACGGATAGTCCCCACACCTGAAAGTGAAATGAAAAATCAAGTCGATAGACATAAAGACGACTTGTGGCACAAAATTTTCGTAAATATCCTGGTATTAGGAGACATGTTCTCCTGTGGGGAATGGAGTCATTTCAGATTTTGGTCTGACAATACATTTGATATGCATATAACGAAAATCCTTGAATGATTTAAATTGTTCTGAAGCATATTAAGGTTCCCAAGAAATTTATTAGTTAAATCTTGGGCAGATCCTTATGTAGATTAGAGCGATCATGGCGTACATGATTTATTTTTGTGTCTAGTGCAATTGGTGCACTAATATATCAGGCTAGAACCATGAGTATAACAATATGCTAGCAAGATATAGTTTTATTCCAATGTGGAGATATTGGAATACAATTAGTATTATATTTCAAAAGGAATATATACTTGATGTAGATTTGTTTATTCTAACAAATATTGCCAAGATTTTGTTGGTTATGCAAATGCAGGCATTTTCCTGAAGTTCGTTCTTCAAACATTCTATCCATATTATCATTTTACAAGGCAGTTAATTGTTGATACTTAGTCAAGTCATGCCAAGATAAGCAACTGATAAAGCAAGGGGCTCAACACACAACAGACGTGTGACTTGACTTTCAAGAGAAGATTCCAATAATATTGAAGATAATGTTGTTTGCTTATATCAATTGAAAGAAGGACTATCGAAGGAGACAAAATAAAGCGCATTCACCAAAGTTCTTCAATAAATTTGTTCAAGTGATAATTTGACAAACTTCTTCACAAGACATTGCGGATCTCAATATTAGAGAAGTTGTTATACAAGCTTGGAATTCGTCGTCTCCGAAGAATAAAGTGATGTTTTCATCAGGGGGAGGCAAATACGCGCTGTACTCTTTTTCCCTTAGCTAAGATTTTATCCCACTGGATTTTTCTGGCAACGTTTTTAATGAGGCAGCAAATAATGCGTATTACAAGATATGTGTACTCTTTTTTCCTTCACTAAGATTTTTTCCCACAGGGTTTTTTCTTAGTAAGGTTTCAACGAGGCACATTATCTATAGACATCCAAGGGGGAGTGTTATGAAATATTATTTTGTAGTGGATGTCTATAACTCCTAAAGAAGTTACTCACACTACTCTTCTCCATTATGTAGATAACTCCCACTACTTCTTACCATTATAGTTGTAACTCCCACACCTCCATAACCTCCCCATGATCTTCTTCCATGATCTCAAATGTTTAATGTCATGTTTATGGCATTCTTTTGTATGCCTCTACGTAATCCTATAAATAGAGGGTTTTGGCATAACATTGTATACACTTGAATACATAGAAGAAATAAGATTCTCTCCTCTCTTCCTCTCTACATTGTTGTCTATTTATTGTTCTATATTGTTACTTTGAGCTAAGTTTCGTAACACAATTAATTGGTTTTATAGTAAAAATGATGAGCTAAATGCATAAACTGGTTTGACAATAAATATTGGATATAATGTGGTAAAGCCGTAAATAATAGGAAAGATTGAACGAAATTGGATGCTTAGAGGCTTAGCGAAGAATTATATGACAAGATTCTATAGAGTGCTCAAATTTTCTTAAAACCCGTAACCGCCCCACAACCGCGTTGAGTTAAACAAAAAAAATATTTCAACAGGCCTCGCTACTATCTACTCCCGCCCCGCCCCATTGCCATCCCTATTTGTCGTGAAAGACAAGTTTTGTTGCATATAAGAGGCTTAAGTACAGTTAGACCTCTCTATAACAATTATCTTTTATAACAATACTATAACAGCTAAATATTCTTTAGAATCAAAATTTTATGTTATGTTATATTATATGTTTTCTATAATGGCATTTCACTATATCAGTCAAAAAAAAATATTTGGACAAATGATGCCCATTAGAAAGAGGTTTTACTGTATTTGCTTTTGAGAGTTCGTTCTTTTTTTTTTTTTTTTTTTTTTTTTAACTGTGAGACAAAGTTGCAAAATATTTAGCATAGTAAATTTCGGAGAGTTAGAAGTTCTTTGGAACTATTTCTTATCGTCCAAGAAATTCTTGACTTGACTTAACGAAATTATCATTTCCCAATCAACTTTTTTCCAAAGTCACTGACTATTTGAAGTAAAATATTGTAATTGTATATTGATTCTTTCAAAATATCGATTAATTGAAAATGAAAAACATTCAGTTAACCAAACCGGTTTGAAAGATTATTAAAAAAATTATAAATACGAAGCAGCTAAATTATTTCAAGGTTGGAATGTCTAATATAAAAGGTATTATGCTTGATACCATGATAGAGCTGCAGTTATATTATTAAAACCAATAGTTAAATGGAATAGTCGAGGCACAATGACAGCTAATAAGTAATAAGGTTTGAATGTCTAATAAAAAAGGGTTCGTTAGTGTGTCAAAATGAAAAAAGTGAACAAGTTTAGGGGGCGTTTATGTATTTGGCAAAAATACAGGGGAAAAAAACAAGAAATGGCTAATTAACTGAACTTCTTGTACTTGTCCAAGAATATGCAAGCTAGGGTGTTTTTGGTATGAAGAAATGTTTTTCAAGAAAATGTTTTCCAAGAAAACAGTAGTAATCTTACCTATTTTTTGGTTTTTGGTACGCAAATTAAGGAAAATAACTTTTCAAAAGTATTCATAAATAATTTAGATACAATAAACATGAAGCCATAAATTTTCGAACCAACAACCTTCCGAACCCACAAATTTCATAAACTTCTGAATCGCTAAACTTTCGAACTCGTAAACTCTATAATTTCTAAGCCCGCAAACTTCAAAACACATAAACCTCCGAACTCATAACTTTGGAACTCGTAAAATTTCGTACCTGTAAACTGAAAAATGGAAAAATCGGAACTGAAAATATAAAAAAATTATTATTTTTTGCTTCCCCCCTCCCCCCGGGAGGGAGGAGGGGTGCAGAAAAACGAAAAAACAGAAAATAGAAAATTGAAAAAAAAGTAATGCGAGGGGGAGGGGGTGTGGATGGTGCAGAAAAACGAAAATACAGAAAAGACAAAATTGAAAATATACAAAAAATAATAATTTTTTCGCGTGCGGGGGTGGGGTTGGGTAGGGGTGGTTTGACGGGGTTGGGGTGGGTGGGCGGCGCAAAAAGACTAAAACAATAGAAAACTGAAGTTGGAGGGGGGTTGGGGTTGGATGTGAGGATAGGTGGAACTTTTGGAAAATGTTTTCTAACTTTTTCTAGGGAAGTCATTTTCCTCCAATTTCAGGAAAATGTGATATCTAGGAAAATATTTTCCAAACTATTTTGTGCAGAATACCAAACACACCCTTAATCATAATAATGACGTGGCGTTCTTACTAATCTGAGCTCCGTCTGTTATAAATCCCAATTAATTACGGGATTCATTTCAAATTTCCCGCTACTAACGACGTGCTGGAACATGGCACTTACTAGCGTTGACTAAGCCCTAATTTTTTTCCCTAACTTCTAAGAACAATCAAAGTAAAAGTCCTTAAGCGTTCTATTTGACAAGTCCAACGTTGAATTATTACCGATAAACATCTCAATTCACCTAACTTAATTGCCACTGAGCCGCAGTTGATTGATTAGTCATTAATCCTCACGAATTAGCAACTTCAGGTATATTTACAGAGCTTTTAGTAATTTCTCCATATTTTAAGGCAATTATCCCCCTTTTCCGACAGATCTATGTAGTAATTTGAAGCTTGAACTGATTAGTATTGCTCAAGTGATCTAATTTGATCTGTTGCACTTGAAATAGATTGAAGGGGCAAAAGGGGGTTGTGGGTGGGTGGTGGCCGCAAAGGCTGATCCAAGATTTAAAGTGTATGGGTTCCTATAATGATCTCTAGTTAATATACAATAACAAGTGGGTTCACAATCTATTATTTATAGATATTTAATGAATTTTTTAATATATATACACGGTATAAGCAAAAGTTACTGGGTCTCGGTGAACCCGTACATAATGCTTTGGATTTGCCCTTGGTAGTGGGGGACTAAGATGGATTCTGTTAATACCTATTCGCTCAAGTGTTAGTAATCACAAAGGAATGACTTTGGGATTTACCTTATATACACCGACAATGTAATTTTTTACACCATTAACGAATTTTAACATGTGATAGCAAATCAGTTAGCATTTTTACCAAATTATCAATTAATGCTTATTTAGAGATTTACTTGTAGGGGAATCTTAGTAGCTCAGTTGGTTGGCTACTTGAACATTCACCTTGTTAGTGAAGGTTGGATTCTCCACCTTGTATTTCCCTCCCCTATTTCCCCCTTCCCCTACCCCCTATATATAAAGAAAATTTTTAAAAAATGAAAAAAAGAGATTTACCTAATAAGTGATCTAATCGTGTAGATAGTATAAATACCATCAGGGCACAAAATTTAAACTTATGATTTTTACGTTCTGGCTTTTAGATTGACCATACTGCAATAGAGTTTTGGTGTTTCTGTTGTGGGTCATTGGAAGTCCTTGGGTCAACTCTGTGTAGCTTCTCCTTTTGTGATTTTGAAACTGCTCCTCGAGGATCATGAACAGAATGGTGACACCTATGCGCAGGTTTTTTATTTTTATTTTTAAGTGATTTATTTATGGGTCTTTCATTGCCCTTTTTTATAACCATATTATTCGGGTCAGCTTGCACGCACCTCGACTAATTCCACAAGGTATCTTCTACAGTGCTACCTCTCACCAGCTTGTCTTTATTGCCTTTTTCTTGAGAGAATATTTAGCTTTAAAGGTGGTATAAAGCTTTTAACTTACACTTTTAATTTTGTGGCAGTTCAAACACCAGACGGCGAAATGAAATGATGAGGCTTCTTGTAACATCCTTTGCTGGAGTTGTGCTTGGCATTTTCTTAGGCGTATCGTTTCCTACACTTTCATTTACCAAGGCATGAGAGCTAATTTGACTTTTCAGTTTGATAAGATATATATACATGTTTAAGATGGAGGTGTATTCAAGATTTAGAATCAGTGGGTTGTGTCGATATGCGTGTGTGCGCACGCATGTGCATATCAGCATATGTATACATTAAAATAAGATAGTATCACTGCTTGTCAACTAAGTCCGCCCCATTTTTCTCTTAAGTATCCCTTGAGTAAGAACTGATAAGTAATCTGCTTGTACATTTTAATTTTGCAGTTGAACTTACCTTCTAATCTTTTCGGATTAATTGATCTCTCTTTCATTGAGGACAAGTATTCAGGCCTCTCAACTCAAGATCTATTAAATGCCTGGTCTTCCCTGAGGAGCCACAGAGGCAATTCACACAAGCATAATGACACAAAGGTATAACATTTGTTGCTTACATAGGCTACAAGCAGCTACTCTTGACACTTTGGTGCAACAGAGTTTCTTATTCTCGTTTCATTATTACATTCAGATATTGATAGTCAATTTTAGTTATACAGAGATAAGATTGCACTTTGTCTCTTGGAAATTTATACCGCCTTTCAAGACTTATGCTATTTGCGGCAATCTTGCAGATTTGGGTTCCATCAAATCCTCGAGGTGCTGAGAGGCTACCACCGGGTATCACTGCATCTGAGTCTGATCTTTATCCTCGAAGGTTGTGGGGCCTACCCCGTGAGGTCTGTATTTTTCAGCCTTGGTGCCTATCTAAAGTAGTCAATTGACTCTTCGTTTTGTTCGGCAGATAGCAACTGCTACCCGTTCAATTATGCAAATCAAAGGCATAGTGTGAGGTTTAGAATGCAAAGAAAATGATCCATGTGTTAACACATTACTAAAAAGCTTCTTTCAGTTATTAATGACACAGAACTAGCATATCCTGAAGTTGATTTCAGGGATATTGGTTGAGTCTCTAATAGTTTATATAAGTCAAAGAAATTGGACGGAAGGGGTTCTTATTAAACTAACAATTGCCTTAGTAACAACCTTTTGTAACCAGATGAAATCTATCATAAGAAAAAGCTGTTTGCTTCAAATTTTTTAGATGGACAGGAACCAAGAATTCCTGATTGGAAATAATGAACTTGCTGAAGTGTGCTAATGACATTCTTACCTCCTCCTGGTTCTGTAGGGCTTGAAGAAACATTATGCCATAGCTGTTAATATATTTTTTGACATTGAAATTTATATAATCCCCTATGATGACAGATGAGAATCATTGAATAGCCAGCTGAAACATGATTTTTAGAATGCCATTATAAGTTAAAGCTCTCAGTATTGTAATCTGTTTCATCAATTGATCTACAGGACTTGATTATCAAACCTAGGTATCTTGTCTCCTTTGCAGTTGGCTACGAGCAGAAAAATAACATCGATGCGGCAGTCAAAAAGGTTAGGCTCAACCCTTCTTTAGCTCTCTTCCCTTCTATTCACTCCTTTGAGCCCTGGACTTGTCCTTTGAGGGGGATCATTTATTTGTGAATAAGGGACTAGATAAGGCCTAACCTGAACCTGAGGTTTGTTTGCGACTTATTTTAACATAGCTTTTGCCTGCAAATGCAATCATGTTTAGGTTGCCGAATTCTTTAGAATGTTACATTTGAGATCCAAAAATGATTCGAATACTCATATTTCTCATTTGGAACCAAAAAACAACAAGTTGAGACAAGCAAAAACTTGCCAGAAATTTTGATCTTTTGACAAGCGGAAATGTGGAGATTATCCTTTTTTTTTTTAATATTTGTTTTTGGGTTAATTGTTTGGTTATTTTCTACTCAATATTTTATTCAGTAAAATGAATAAAAGCAATAAATATTTGTTTTTAATGCTAAACTAAGAATTAACTATTTGGATTGATACACGGATTTGTTTGAGTGATTGTAAGTGCAAGCCACTAACAAAACCTTGTTTGGTGTTTCTTTATCTTCACCAAAAAGATGTCATACTATTGTTGTTTGTATCCCTTATAGTCGTAACTACTAATTGTATTCTTGCTTCTCTTGATTACATCCTGTATGTGCCACTAACTAAGACAGACTTCTGGCAATATTCCCAGCATATTGCTGAGTGGGATTATAATTTCCCGTCATCTTGTCCACAGAACAAACTACCTTCATCTTTTGTGGCTGTGCATTCTTACAGTTCCATTTTTAACAGTTTTCAGAGAATTTTACCTTTATGTTGTTTCACTATGATGGTCGAACAAGTGAATGGGATGATCTTGAGTGGTCCAAGCGGGCTATCCATGTTAGTACACGAAAACAAACTAAATGGTAACTTCTTTTTGTGAATTCCTCTGATCCTCAATGTTCCAATACATTTTGATGGACTTTGTAAGAGAGAAGTTTATTTGTTGGATTGAAAGGTGGTACGCAAAACGCTTTCTGCATCCAGACATTGTAGCACCGTATGACTATATATTCATCTGGGATGAAGACTTGGGGCTTGAGAATTTTGATGCGGAGGAGTAAGAATGCTTTTTCTCACATTCTTGTAAATAAAAAATGTTGAATTTCATTTGTTAGAATAGTCATGTAAATAGGAGTAAATAAATAACCCTAATCCAATATATATTAGGAGTAGGACGTGTTATGTGTGTATATATATAGGGCTCATTGTAACATATGTTAATACATCAATAATATAATTTCTCCTGTGCTTTCTCACATGGTATCAGAGCTATCGTGAGATATTTATCGCTGTGCATAAATTCCAGCGACTCCGGGAAGAAAAAAAAAAAAACCTTTTTTTTCCGGCAAAACAGCACTGTCCGCAAGAAAAAAATCAATATCCGTCGGTGTTGTGCAAAAACCAACATCACCACGAGATAGATCAGCTTCCGGCGACCAAACCACAAAAAATTCTCCGGCAGAACCTCTCCCACGCGCCCTCACACGCCGCCGGAAAATATTTTCCGGCGAGTCTCCGTCGTCACGCGCCGGCGCGTGAGGCCTCTTCCGGCCATTTTTTGGCCGAGCTTCTTCAGGACAGCCTGGTCGCACAGCAATCCGACCCTACCTATCCTGTTTTCGTTTGATTCCGACCACTTTGAGTTTTTCCGGCGACTACACTGATTTTTCCGGCAGCTACAGTACTTTTCCGGCAAACACAGTGTTTTCTTCTTCTGTTTCAGAGAATTTTCAGTTGATTCTTTTTGTTATTTGGTGATAATCCAACCATGTCTTTGGGAGTCGATGCTTTCGGGTCTAGAAACCCGGGTTCTGGCAGTTCCGCTGTTATGATTACCTCAGAACCTTTAATGGGAGGTTCAAACTACTTAGATTGGGCTTCATATGTCGAGTTGTGGTGTAAAGGTCAAGGAGTTAAAGATCATTTAACAAAAAAGGCTAGCGAAGGTGATGAAAAGGCCAAAACACAGTGGGAGAAGGTCGATGCTCAGTTATGTAGTATCCTGTGGCGATCTATTGATTCCAAGTTGATGCCCTTGTTCCGTCCATTCCAGACATGTTATTTATTTTGGGAAAAGGCTCGTAATCTATACACTAATGACATATCTCGTTTCTATGATGTAATATCGCGAATGACAAGCTTGAAGAAACAGGAATTAGATATGTCTACTTACTTGGGACAAGTTCAGGCAGTCATGGAAGAATTTGAGACGTTGATGCCAGTTTCTGCCAGTATTGAAAAACAACAAGAGCAACGACAGAAGATGTTTCTAGTTCTTACACTCGCTGGACTCCCTAATGACCTTGATTCAGTACGTGACCAGATTTTGGCTAGTCCAACCGTCCCCACAGTTGATGAATTATTCTCTCGATTACTTCGCCTTGCTGCAGCACCTAGTCACCCAGTGAGCTCATCACAGACACTTGACTCATCTGTCCACGTATCCCAATCAGTGGACAATCGGGCATCTCATACTATGGAGAATAGACGAGGAGGAGGTCGTTTTGGAAGATCTAGACCCAAGTGCTCTTATTGTCATAAACTTGGACACACTCGTGATGTATGCGATTCTTTACATGGCCGCCAACCAAAAA